GCCCCTCCCCCATTGACTCTGATGCGTTTTAACCAAAAAAGTTCAATTTTGCTTCTGGGATATAAAAACTTCTGCCCCCCCCCGTCATAGTGGCAATCCTCTCCAGCAAACCACTGCAGCTGAGCTAAAGTCTTAGGAGCCCCGCTGTTCATTATAGCAGCCAGATATCACAGAGCTCCTCGCACGTGCAGAGGGCGGGGTCTTCGTCCTGAATCTGGGCGGAGTCACTTCCTCTGTTATCTCTCCGTGTACTTCACCTCTTTTCAGCCACTTCCTGTCTCCATGCACTGCACGTTACTTCTCTGAGGATGACAACCGTGTGTGTATTGGCATGGCTGCTTGTAGTCTCCACCACGGGTGACAATGCTAGAGCACAGGAAGATAGCGTTGTCACCCCATGACAGGAAGTTGGACCCTGATGGCAGGATCTCCAGGGATTGTTTTCAGTGAAAGCTGCAGATTTTTTTTAAAGAAAAGGCAAATTTTGGGATTCCGTTTCCATGTTTGGAGCTTCTCTGAGATTTAGTGTTTGAGGTTACGTCTACTTTAACCCCGTGCCTGCCGGTCGTGTGCATATATATATATTTGGGGCTTTCTTACTCGGTGTCCCAGCGACAGCTCACTGTTTAGAACTGGGCCAGGCTCTTGATCACATGATCTGGTCATGTGATCACCTGTGACAGTGAAGACTCCCTTTTAAAGGGCCAGCGCCCGCCAGCTGTAAAGGGTTATTATACAGCCTTGTACGCCTCATTCTCAGGACTGTCGTGAGTCCAGATAGCGCAATGGGTGGCGGCAGCGCATGTTTCCGCCCCGGTGTCCCCTCTCAGGCTGGGATCTCGGTGACGGGGGCCACCTACCTCATACCTGTTGATGGTAATGTTTGCTGTGCCGCTCATTATCACACCTCTGTGTGTTTGTACATCGCTCTGGCGGCGGTTGCCACATTGGTGTAGATTTTTAGGAGGCGGGGGCAATATAATAAGCTGAAATACCTTTCCTAGGGCAAATGCTGCTCCCGGCCCCCTCCAGTGCTGGTCACGTGACTCAAAGCCTAAGTCTCTGCAGAAGAGGAGCATCAGTCAGTCACTGTGGATATTGATATAGACTCAGGTCATGTGGGCAGCACTGGAGGGAATGTGGAGCAGCATTTTCTCCAGGAAGGCCGGGTAGATGTCCTTCTGTACATCTCCATGCAGCAGTTTGATGACAACCTTTGAGCCCGGTGACACTTGGATTAGGATGATGGGAACATGCTGGTGTGGTCTGAGCTCTGCACTGCTGTATGTGCACAGCGGCCGCTCCATTCAGAACTGGTTACACCCCTCGTCCATTTCTTCTTCAATCTTTACTGTCTGTGTCTGATTTGCAGAGTGACCCTCCACTTCCAGGCCTGGACCTACAACAGGAAATGAGAGGAAATCCTCCTCTTAGTTGTCACTAGAACAGGTGTCCCCACTGGACCATTCTTCGGTACCTCCGGTTCTGGAGAAAACTGTAACATTTAGGATTTTGGGTTCACCGGCTCTGTTCCAGGATGTACCGCACCCAGCGTCATGAAACCCACTTCCTGTGAGTCCAGGGTGGTATGGGTATTCCCCAGGAAGGAAATGGGGGGGGGTATAATGAGGCACCCTGAACCCCCATACAGTGATACAGAGAGCAGCGCTGGTGTCATCCGGTCATTGAGGACCTCCCAGGACCACACGTGTCACATGACCTGCCTGAAACCATCTGGAAAGAATTGCAATACAAAGGTGTGTTGTCATTAGTAAGATGTCTGCGGTGTGTTTCCTCCTCTCATGATCCTTTTATCTCTTTGTTCCGTATTTCCTCCGGTACCTCAGGTCCGGTGAGTGTTCGGGGATCAATACTCACCATTAGAATAGCACACGGGATCATGGTTGGGTGTTGGGTAAACCTGACCTCCGGCTCTTTAAGGTTGAGTGTCCCCACCCTGACCACAGATCAGCAGGGCCGGCGTGGAAGCGAAGCGTTAAAGCCCACCCCCATACTATGTGTATGGTCCGCGGGAACAGGTGCATGGAAGTGACGCAATTCAAGTGAATGGAAAACCCATTTCAGATGTCACTGTACAGGCTTCTTTTCTTACCTGGAGATCCTGCCACTACCACCACTTCCTGTTGTGGCTGACAACGTTATTATTTATTACAGGTCTGGATATAGCGCTGACGCCTTACATAGTGCACATACACATCAGTCCCTGCCCTCCAGGAGCTTACAATCTAAGGGTCCCGTCTCACATGCAGACATCCATACAGGAGCCAATTAACCTAGGGCCACAAAATAAATAACATGCACTGCCAGGCTGCGGCACACAAAGCGAGCCGAGCACTCTCTTGTATTAAAAAGGGAATGTACTGTAGAGACAAATCTATCGTTTGGCACTTTATAGATCGCTGGTTCCGCCTCATCTGGAATATGAGGTTCAGTTCTGGTCACCAATCCACGGAAGGGATGTCCTGGAGCTAGAGAGAGTCCAGAGAAGGGCAACGAAACTAATTAAGGGGATGGAGGACCTAAGCTATGAGACAAGGTTACTAAAATTAAACTTGTTCACGCTGGAAGTGAGGAGATTAGGGGGAATATGATTTTGATGTAAAAAATGTTTAGTGGTGACAGCAACATCGGCCATAAACTATTTCCAGTCATCTCCATAACAAGGACGAGAGGCCACCACCGAAAACTGGTGGAGAAAAGATATAAGCACACGGGGCGTAGGGGCTTCTTCTCAGTTAGAGCGGGTAAAGTCTGGAACTCTCTGCCACAAGAAGTGGTATCAGCTGAGAGTATTGATTCATTCAAAAAGCATTTGGACGATTTCCTCAGAGACGGTAACATACAGGGGTCCAGGTACTCTTAAAAAACAACATCACACAGGGACTCTAAAGGTGCCCATACACTGTACGATTCTCGTACGAGAATCGCGGGAAATCCCGCGATCGTACGAGAATCGTACAGTGTATGGAAGGCGTGCGACCGTTTCTACTGTACGGTCGCACGTCTTCCATCGAACAAGCAGGCTGGAAAACCCGCCGGGAATCGTACGATTCTCGGCGAGTGAGTGGCCTGCTGGTTCGACAACTGACGAACGGGCCGGTGTGCGCACGCGCACACTGCCCGTTTGCCGTCCTTGCAAGCCCGCCCCTCATTGCAGTCATCGCAAGCCCGCCCCTCAAGAGGGCGGGCATGCGATGATCGCAAGTACGATCTGCCTGTCCAAGATGGGCAGATCGTACGGTTTTTTTAAGTACTTTACAACCATCGCAAGACTATGGTTGTAAAGTGTATGGCCACCTTTACACACATATGCACAATCACATACATACACGCAATAGGTTGAACTTGATGGACCTGTGTCTTTATTTAACCTCAAATACTATGTAACCTTCCAGTGTGTCATAGGAGTGTGGGAGCAAAGTATGAAAATAAATACATATGACGTTGGACAAGTTGTCACCTCTCAATGTCCCGGGATTGTCATGTAATACATCATGTTGATACAAAACTAAAAACCTTTTTTTGACAGTGGCATGCCACTGCTGTGAAGAGGGGCGCCTATTGTGAAAGGGGGTGACTGATGTGAAAGAGGGAGGCTCCTAATGTGAAGGAGGAACTCAACTTTTTGCATTGGGTCCATACCAAGCCACCGGCCTCTGATATTGGTGTGGCTTTCGGAGGTAACACACAGTGGGGTTTTGCAGACTTATAAATAGGTCCGTGGCTCCAATAATGTTGAGCATTCTGAGGTATCCCATCACATACCCAACTAACATATCTTTTTGTGTAGCTTGGATGGCACCATCACTCTAAAGGAGATAATGAGGTCACCAGCAACCCAAAGTCCACTTCCTCTCTCCGTCTTGTACTGACATTTTGGTGTTTTGGAAGCACATTGGGGTCCCTCCTTCAGGCAAACCTCATTCATATGTGCTCCTTGAAATGTTGCATTTGCTTGTGGCACCGACATGTCAATAAAAGACGGATCGAAGAAGGGGACCTCGGGGTGCTGGTGACCTCATCTCAAGCAAATGTTCAGACACACTGGGTCATCAATACTCGGCTTCCAGATTCTCATAATTGGTTCCAGAGAAAGTTCTTCTGATGACACAAGTAGGACGCCCCGGGCTCGGCCTGGGACTCCGGAACACCAAGACCATTGGCTGGAGCTACAACTTCGTGTCCAAATAACCAGAAAGATGTTCAACCGTCTTCTGCCATCATATCCATCAACACTTCCAGCTTTCACCCCTCCAAACCGGTGCTGTCCCCCCCGCAACCCCCCTTGTCAATGACCACGGAGCTCACCGCCATTTATATACAAATCCTTCATCAAGTTTCTAAAAGCCAAAAAACACAAACAGACAATAACCATAAATAGAAGTCTGGAGGCCGAATACTGACATCTCACCAGACGCCTGATCCCCACTTCCCTCTTCTGAAGTATAACCAGCACATCGGTCAGTGATTGGAGGTCATCGGCTCGGTGATTGGAGGTCATCGGCTCGGTGAATAAGAGCAATGACTGAGGACAATGAATATTCGAGGTCAGAGGTCACATTTTATGACCTAAGTCCTGATACATAGAGAGCCGGCTGCTGAGCCCCAGAGACACATCTACAAATAAGGAAAAATATTCTAAGTGCCACTTTTTAACCCCTTGTGTAGGAGCTCGGGCTAGGGGCTAGGGAGCTAGGGGTTTAGCAGCCAGCCAGCGGGGTGGATGAATTTTCGGAGTTGCAGGTTCGGATCTCGGTTCCTCTATTTGAATTTGTTGGAGTCGCTGATCACGTCTCACTTACTAAGTCCGGATATATCGCCATCAGATCCAATGGGCCGGCTGGCCCAGAGGTTTAGCAGACGGCCCGTAACCCAGCAGAGATTTTGGAGTCGCAGGTTCGAATCTAGATTGATCTATGTGGAATTGTGAGAACTTTTTACTCCTGAACTAGGAGAATGAACACGTGAGTTGCTGAGCAGAGGCGAGTAGCTCAGTGGATAAGAGCGTTGACCCAGGGCGCCATAGACCCAAGTTCAAATCCACACAAGTGCTGTAGACCCCCAAGGGCCAACCAATGAGAGCGCTGCAATCAAGTGCAAATCCATGAAAGTGCTGTAGACCCCCGAGTGTGATACCACAAGAGCGCTGTAGACCCCCGAGGGTTCTCTCTGAGCCACCACCTCAGCTCAAGCATTGATAGTCTTCTAGTTCAGAAATACAAGGAATTCACACATGTAGAGAGAAAAAACCCCCCAAACCATTCAGCCGATGGATCAGAACTTACCTCCCATCTATGATCACCTAAGGGTCTCTGCACCATCTCCTATTTCATCAACAGAAGACAAACAGTTCAATCACTTACAATGAAATGAATGGAATACAGATACCTCCATGTCCCGCCCACCATAACCAGCTATACAGATGACGGCACTTTTCAGGAGCTACAACATGCACCTCCCTGTCCCTCATACAGGAAATGAGAAGTGACGTTGTCACAGAGACAGGAAGGTGTGAACAGCACTAAAAACATTGTCACAACTTCTAACCCTCCCCCGCTCCCTGCTGTGTCTCCATTGGCAAGATTTATCATGACTTCCTGTGCAGACAGGATGTGACGGGGAAAACTACAAGATTAAAAAAAAAAAAAAAATTTACCTGGAGTTTGGGTTTTCATCTTCAGAGGAAGTCCAAACCGAGCGAGTTCCAGAAAAACAAATCTGACATCATTCTGATAACTGCAACTAACAATATGTTCCCCCAGAGAAGGGGCCGCAAACAACAAATTCATTCACTTTTTTTTATCCTTTGTTACACCTCGGGGCTCTGCAGTCCTTACTCTCTGAGCCACCACCTCCGCTCAAACATTGAAGTGCTCGTTCTTCTATTACAGAAAAGAAAAAAGAGAAAAAAAATGATTAAAAGACAAATATAACATCAGATTATTCCCAGCCCCCAATAAAGAAACATAAATGGTAACCTTTGTGCCAACTTGTGATTCATACCGGCGGCACATTGAACAGCCCAGGTTGGCACGGGGCTGTAAATGCCCAATTTCATTCAATATAAGATGCCCCCCACCACCAGAACATGCGCAATATAAACAACCAACAATACAACAAAGACACATCAATATGGGAAAGTTTTGGCCTTTTTGGGGCATTACATTTTGACCTTCTATGAACTCATAAACCATTAACATTGTCTCACCCCCAATCTTAAGCTGGTCACACACCAGTGGAATCTCCTTCCAAACTCTGAAAACTTCTTTGTCAGAACATTGGAGTTCAATGGGTTTTGTCCAAAAGCCCATCAGAAATAGACCGGCTACTTGAATGGAATTTGACATATTAAACAGGTGTCATGAGCGTTCCAAATCATCCCGAATGGAGGTCACATAGAGGAGGGTGGAAATCACTCTGATAAGAAATGGGAAACATTGGTCATCCCCAGCCATTGGTCATCCCCAGCCATTGGTCATCCCCAGCCATTGGACATCCCCAGCCATTGGACATCCCCAGCCATTGGACATCCCCAGCCATTGGACATCCCCAGCCATTGGTCATCCCCAGCCATTGGTCATCCCCAGCCCAAAACCATCGTGGATCTCCCCCATTAACCATGAGGACGTTAAACAAACGTTCCAAAAAAAATATTGTACTGGGGTGTGTCCAGCTTTAGTCTTCAAGAAGCAAACCAATCATGTGAGCTGGTCCATCCACAATGTGGGCGACATTCCCCCCAATAAAGAGAAGGAGCTAGGGATAGAAGATCTACAATCCTTACTGATCACCTTGTATCAGTGAACCAGGCCAATGGATGTCGATGTTCCGGGATCAGCGCGGTCCCATCCCCCTCTCAGCGTCTCGCCTAAAGAAAGAAGAATAAAGTCAGCAGAGCAGCCACAAATCCCACCATCTTGTATACTGTACATGGAATTAAAGTGTATGTATATGTACTCTTTATTTCCAGTATTTGCCATCTATGTCCCTTTGGGGAGATTTTCCTTCACTTCCTGTGCTACAGATGTAACAGGAAGTGAGTGGAAATCTATACAAAGTTCTATTCAACAGGTGTCCCCATTAGAAGAGAGGGTGTTGACATACCATGAGGGGGGAGGGGCTGTGCGAGGGAATTGACTATTATTATACAGGATTTATAGAGCGCCAACAGTTTGTGCAGCGCTTTACAATATAAGGAAGACAATACAATCACAATACAAGACAAGATGGTAAGGAGGGCCCTGCCCCTGAGGGCTTTCAATCTAAAAAGTCACATTGTAAGTGAATACAAAATAATGAATGAAAAGAAAAACGCTGCAAGTCAGGATTTCATACACTCCATGTTTCCTTTGCTTTTCCCTGCAATGTTTATAGTCGGTGACAGGGTCTCTTTAAAGTGTTTATTTATCTGCCGGCCCTTTAAGACACTGGCAGCGCGGCCTGTGCGACAGCTGCGCCTCCTCAGCTCTGAGATGCACATGGGCCTCCAATGGGGCTCATTATATCTTTGTAGAGATGATTCTTCAGTGGAGTCGCCTTCAGCTAAATGTATTATGCATCTCGGTCCTGATAAGCGGGCCGCTGTTCTGCAAGTGTTCTGAGACCGAGCGAGCGCATTAGACTCCCCAAGAAAACCCAAACGTGCCAAGTCGGGTCTGTGGCTACAGCTGAAAAGCCAGAGCTTGGTTACCTTGTTTCAGCGGGTCACTTGAGTGACAGCTGGGGCTGCTGACATCACATCCAAGATGGCGGCACCCAACAGCGGTCTCGGGGCTTTTGGATGTCTACACAAAGGAGGTTTTACAGGTCAATAAAATGCCTGAAACATGTTTAATGCTCATATAATCTAATGGGAGGACTGCGGGTGACGGGAATGGTTTGGAGACAGTGATGACATATATGGACTGCCACTGCCCACCTGCTGGTAAACATTCCAGTTCCCCGGCTCTCTCTGCCCTCCATACTCCAGTGAAGCAGATGAGCAGTGCTGACTTCACTCGCTGAGTGCTTGTTCCCGCTCAGTGACTTGGACGGCATTGAAGGAAGAGACAACCATCCATGTATATCATCACAGGACTCCTATACTCACTGACCTGAAATACATATACAGGCCACACAGGAGTGCTGACCTCACTGGGTGCATGCTTGTCCTGAGAATGTAATTCAGTAGGCAGTGAGGACAGGATGAGTATGACATATCAGGAAGCAATGGCAGCGCTCGCGTCCCTATTCTGACATGAGGACCCCAGAAGCTCTTTATATTTGTATCCAAGACCAAAATCCTCGCTATGTTGTGTCGGTTGGAGTGCAGAATTGTATTGGGGGGTTGGTGTCCCCTTGGGGGGCTTTCCCATCACTTCCTGTTCTAAAGACACAACATAATCCCATAAGAGAGATGTCACCAGAACAGGTGACCCCATTGGATGTCCCCTCTATTCCTGTTCTGGTGACAACTAAAAGACGTCGGATTTCTTATCACATGGACACAGATTAGGAGAGAATCTCTCCGGCCTTGTCATAGGTAGCCATAAAAACCTGACGGAGGTTCTAACCCTTATAATAAGTTCTGGGTGTAGATACACTGCCAGCCCGGTGACATCTTACAGAAATGCATTTAGATGAGCAGAGGCGGGGTGGGG